CTAAGGTGCGGCCAAAAATACCTTTCCTCCAAGCTTGCAATTGTCTTATCTCGTCCCAAATGACCACTAAGACCACCACTATGTAATTCTCGTATCAACTTCTCACGCAAAGAAGAACAAGGAATGCAAAGCCTATTTCCTTTAAAAAGATAACCGTCACGTTCATGGAAATCAGCTGAAGGGTGTTTCTTACAACACTTAACCCACAATTCCTTGAATTCTTCATCTTGTGCATACAAATCTTTTAAGAACTCAAAACCCACAACCTCATGTGCTAAGGTAGTTAATAAGGAAGCCCTTCTACTCAAAGCATCTGCTACCCTATTAAGTGTCCCAGACTTGTGCTGAATAATAAAAGGGAATTTTTGCAGAAAACTAACCCATCGAGCATGCATCTTATTGATCACCTTTTGGCTGTGAAGAAATTTGAGAGCTTGATGGTCCGTGAAAAGTATAAACTCACGCTGAACCAGATAGTGCTCCCATTGTTTTAAAGCTCGAAACACAGCATAAAACTCCTGATCATAAGTACTCCACTTCTGGCGTGCGTCACTTAGCTTTTCACTAAAGAAAGCTACAGGTCGCTTCTCTTGTGACAGTACAGCTCCTATTCCCACGCCACTTGCGTCACACTCCACTTGAAACACTTTATCAAAATCCGGTAATGCTAATACTGGAGCAGTACAAAGCTTCTCTTTAATTAATGCAAAGCTCTCGTCTTGTTCCGGACCACAATGAAACCTTCCCTTCTTCAAACACTCAGTAATAGGTGCAGTAATGGTGCTAAAGTCTCTCACAAACCTTCTATAGAAAGTAGCAAGACCATGAAAACTACGTACTTCAGTTACGGATTTAGGAACAGGCCAATCTTGGATTGCACTCACTTTGGCTTCGTCCACCTGAATCCCATCCTCACCAACAACAAACCCCAGAAATAACAATTTGTTGGTGCAGAATGTACACTTCTTTAGATTCACGTACAGCTGATTTTCTTGGAGGACTTGCAAAACCTGATTCAAATGCCCCAAATGGTCGTCCCTAGTT